AGCAATTCATATTATTATAGAAGTCGCACGCTGCTCCAGCTGATTCGCGTCATACTTGAACAGTAACAACTTTGCCTCCACTTTCCTTTAGATGCAGCCCTTGTTAAGTATTTTTGAAGGGCTGAACTCCCTTTAGTTAGGTTACTAGAGTAGGCATCTCCGAGATGCCTCAAAAGTTTTCATGTAGGAATTTTCAACAAGAGTACACAATTGCTATCGCAGGTGTAATATGCTTTGTCATTTTAGAAGTTTTGGAGTGGTGGAAAGGTTGGTGTTTGTGGTTAATGAAATCTCCTCCATCTGAAATTTATCTGTTAAGAACGTTTTTAATTGCTTCGCTTCTGATGATCTACTTTCCTGAAATTTCTGGTGTACTTGTATCTGTTCTGAAGTTGCTAATCTTAGTGGCTGTTTGGTTTGTTGCAAAAATAAATTACATCTAATGTTGCAGCAGCAAATGTCGCATGCAACATTTGTTGTAGAAAATCGACTTCAAATTCAATGTTTGGGTATTTGCAATTGTATTTTAGCAAAATGTATTTTCAAATGCAAGTTTAGTGTTTGGTTGAAAAGCAATTAAACAAAAGCCACTTAATTTTGTCATATAAGGAAATTTAGATGTAGATTATTTATGTATTTGGATTTAAACGATTTTTTTAAGAGATTGAATTATTTTATTTTTTTAAATTCCCATTTTTCAACCATGGAGCTTCCACCAAATTGGTCGTTATTTGTTAGTCCATTTAGATTTTTTAATTACAAAGTTATAATTTAAATAATGAATCTACAAATCTGATAGGCTCTCAATTACATTTGCAATTCCATTTTCTATCAAAAAAAAACCCCCCCCCCCCCCCTCCCCTACTCTACCAATGAACTACTATGGCACGTGGAGCTTGAGTTCATCTTTTCCTCTCCAAGTCTTATTTAAGCTCAGAGTTGGTATTTTGCAGGGCGGCTGAAGGCATAGGCCACTAAAGGCATATGCGCTAGGGGTCCCATTTTATTGGGCCCTAAAAAATATTATATATATATATATATATATATATATATTATTATATATATATATATATATATATATATATATTAAATAAAATATAATTATTAATTTTTTTTTGGAAATATAAGAAGTTGACTATTGTAAGGATTTTATGTTATCAATTATCTTTAATTGATCATTTATTGCTAAAATTATATATAATTATCTTTATAGTTGGAAAAGAACACTAATAAAGTTTAATTGTAACTTTTTATATTTTATTTCTATAATTAATTAGATTATAACAGTAAAAAAAGAGAAAAGCACATATTAAATACTCATTCTTATTTATGCATATATAGTTTATGCGTTTTTTCTCTTGCTAACTTCCTTTATTTTCTTCTCATTCACTCATCTTTCATATTTGTTTAATCTTTGATACTCAGCATACATAATTACAATTCTAATCCAGAAGGCCCCAAAATAAAACGTAAGCTTGTTGGTTTTTATTTATTTTAATTAATTTACATTCATTCTCCTCACACACACACACATAGCTCACGGATATGTTTTGTATTTTGTGTTTTTATTTTTTATTTTTTTATATCTTTTTATTAATAAAATCTTATTTACGTTCAACAATGTCTCAAGAGATTAAATGATTTGACAATTTTATCAATTGAATATTAAAGCTTGAATATAAAATCTAATTAGTAATTTGCATCTCAAAAAGCTAGAAAATTAAATTTTATACAAAATTTATTTTTTAAAAAACTAATATTTTTTTTAATGTTAAGACCCTAAATATTTTTCTCTGCCTAGAGCCTAAAAAATGCTTGAGACGGCCCTGGTATTTTGGCCTATGTTATACAGGTATGGGTAAGTAGGACATAGATATAAGAGGCATAAAACTCGCAAAACGTAGGATACAGAGAGATGATTCTATATTTACATATTAAAATTAACATGTAAATAAAACTAAAGTTCCTATAAAATTTTATATTTTATTTATTAAGTAGATTATAAACATGTATGGGATAAAAAAACGGGATCCACATCCAGCTACGTGTGGGAAGTGGACGTGAAGTGAAAGATGTACGTTAAAAAAGTATATATCTGAGTGTCCAAAACTAAAATATATATTACATAATTGAGTACACATTTGAATAAATATACGAACATTCAATGAGTCTTGGAGTTAGACATGTATCGGTACAGATATGGACGGTGCAGATATGGACACGAGGATGAGGGGCTCACAAAGGTGCTGCGCATCATGATTTGGGATAGTTTAGTTTATTATATGAAAACTATGTGTAATAAATATTTAATAAGTGGTATAATAAATAATTTTTTTATGATAACTGGTATAATAAATATTTAATAACTGTGTCCAAAATATACACAATTTGATCAAATCTTTTTCTTTTTTTTTTTGTTTTCTAGAGGTCGGTCCAAAAGCTTATTACAAGAGAGAAGGGAGAAATACCTAATGCCTTGGTACGGTAACTTATTAGCAGCCGATATCGTTCTGACGTGCGTTTAGATTGCGAGCTAACTTTCGTTAGTTGTCAAAGCACCACTACAACCTGCGACCATCAGTGTTTTACTCTTGGATCTGTAGTAACATGCTGACGAAATTGAAGATGTCTTCTGCATATTATGTTTAGGGTGTAAGTTGCTATTTATATTATAAGTGGTTAGATATTTGGTAAGGTTTTAAACTAAATATTTAAAACTTTTTTTTTTCCTTCACACTAATGCCACATCATGAGAATTGGGTTATGTGCCTGTGAACTCTAAAGGCACTAGGGGCACACCACCAACCACAATCTCAACCACACTCCCTCTCTCATTCGCTACAGTGCACCGGGCTCCACATGGGATTTTAAAATTTTAAAATCTCATGTGGGGCCCGGTGCACTGTAGCGAATGAGAGAGGGAGTGTGGTTGTGGTTGGTGGTGTGCCCGTATCATTTTCCAACTCTTTAAGCTTTATTCGCCATCCAATTCTGAACTACCTGCTTCTAGAAGGATTTTCTTACCAATACACTCACTTTAAGCCCCCTGTCATTTTATTTTTAAATAAATAACCCACTTCGAACATTCCTTTTAGACCCAAAGTACTTGACCAATTTAATTTCAAATCTATTTTGCATTGTGATAGTTTGTATATAATGTAACTTTTTATTTTCGTTCAAATCTATTATATTTTTGTTTTAAGTGACCAGATATTTAATGTATTTTTAAACCAAACACTTAACCAATCATTATTTTTTAAACCAAGCTTGACCCATTACTATTCTTGCGTTTTCAAACTAATGCTGCAACATTGCATTCTGTAGATGTGTTTTTTGCTCAAAAATACAAAAAATTACTTCCATTTTTTTTTTAAGGATTAATTGCAAATGGACTCCATGTACTACCACCCAATCGTAGATATCATAGTTCTATGTTTGTAAATAGACCCATTGGGTAAAATTTTTTGACTCTTAAAATAATAAAAAAAAGTTTCAAGGAGGTGGATAGAACCCTTATAGTTCTATTAGGAGGATAGACTCCCAATTGCTATTTTTTTGACTCGTAAAAGAGTCAAAAATTTTCGCTAAGGGGTTGTATTCGCAATTGGACCATTACTACAAAGCTCTATCCACATAAATAGAATTATAACGTGTTCATTTGTAATTGGGTGATACTATAGGGGCCTATTTGCAATTAACTCTATTTTTGAACCAAACTTTCAAACTAGATTTGTTTTGCATATAAGCTCAATGTTGTAACCTATTTACTTTTGATTATTAAGGGTTATCGATGTCTCTTTCATCATTATCGTCGATACATGTTTATACGTAGGGCTGTCCATCCGGGCCGGCCCGGCCCGGCCCGGCCCGGGAAACCGGGCCCGGGCCGGCCCGGCCCGGGAAACCGGGCCCGGGCCGGGCAAAACCCAAGCCCAGCCCACGGGCCGGGCCCGGGCCCGGGCCTGAGCGGGCCGGACACCGGGCCGGCCCGGTTTGAATTTTTTTAAGAAATTTTTTTTTGTTTTTTTTATTTTTTTAAAATTTTAACAAAACTATAAATCATAAATTATTTTAACAAAACCATAAATCATAAATTATTATAAAAAATGTCATAAATGTAATTAATAACTTGAAATGAAATGACATAAATTACAAGTACAAAAAATGATAAAAATAACTTCTTTATTAATAATCGGTAAATCCTTTACAAGTATAAATTTATTTCGAAATTCGTCGCATCACAATAGATGAGTACATCCCAACTAGGTTGGCACCTACTCACCCATATCACTATCATTTGCAACTTTTTTCGAAATAATTTAATTCAAATTTAAAGCTAAGAAATAAAAATTACAATTTTATGAATATTATCTAATCATTATATCTATCTGCTAGTCCCAACTCTTCAAATTTATCTTCAATCATAGCAATCCGTTCGATGCCTTGTGTTCGCTTCTCGTATCTCCACCAATCCTGTAAGCACATCACCGCTTGTACAGTATACGGATCTAAGCATGTCCTGTGGTCGTCGATCAAACGTCCTGCTGTGCTGAAAGCGGATTCCGAGGCTACAGTCGAAACCTGCACTGATAGTAAGTCACGAACCATGGTGGAAAGTATAGGATATGAAACTGATCCATATACTTTCCACCATTGCAAAATATCTAAAGCATTTCCTTGACATCTAACTAAAGAAGCAGAAAAATATTCATCTATTTCAGAAACATCTAATCCTGATGAAGTTCCAGATCCACCAGTTAGTTCAGCTACCATTGCATACCTATCAAAACTTACACTTTTACCTCGACCTGTGCTCGAAGCTGAAGGTGCCGAAGCTGA